TTCCATGTGTGTAGTATACTGTGTGGCTTATATTAAGACTCAACCCCCACCCTGTACTATAGAGAAAGGCTGAAGTGGTTAGTAACATGATATATTGCCACAAGGAATCCTACTAGTGTCTCCACAAAGACATCATATGCTCCAATACTATTCCTCATGGAATGTATATATGCAAATTAGTGTTACTTAGCAACTGGTTGGACTGTACCTCCTATAGTACCAACACCAGGTGCTTTTATGGCATTCAACTATTATTGGCTCGGCCTTGAGGCCCTGGCGTGCCTTTACATGTATATGTCTTTGTTAATTACCTGCGGCCATATCTCCTTCTTTGTCTGTTGGGTGGAGGGAGAGAGTTGGTGGGTTTCTGTCGATTCTCTTTCCGTTGTTTTGGTTGACATTCTCTCCTAGTTGAGTCAGGCATTTTACTCAGACAACACATAATTATTATAAAATGAGAATGTGAATTTTAAAAGGATAATGTACATTCTTTATACATGTACATTCTAAGCCCTCCCTTTCCTTCTCACTTTCTTTCTCTCCCTTTCCCTCTCACTTTCTTTCTCTCCCTTTCTCTCTATTCTCTCTCTTCTCTCTTTTATATTATTCTTTCTCTTCTAAATGAAACCACTTCCTATGTCACGAACCATATGTCCTTATCTTTAGCCTGCTGTTCCTCCTCTTAGACAATGTTTGTGTGTACTTGGCTCTCAGCTCAGATAACACATGTTTACATGCGCCCATGGCAACCCCACTCCCTTTCAAAGTGCCTTCTGTCTTTCTCCTATTGTAGCTTGTGTACACAAGTCTCTCTCGATTTGCTCGTGGTAGTCAAAGCTTAAAAACCTTGCCTCTAATTAATTGCCTGGCTCTGTTACTATTTGTTGCCATGGCGTCGCTATGGCAGCGGGCAATATGATGCAATATCAGGGGCAGTAAACTAATTATATCATCATTTTGTTTTTCTCTCTCTCCTTCCTCTCTCTCTCCCCCTCTCTTCCTTTCTCTCATTACAGGAGGACACCATTGAGACCATTACTGTCACCAAGGACATGATAAATAAGTGGAAAGAAGATTTAAAGAGTGTAAGGTTATTCATAGGCTTAAGCAGCACCCACACTAATCAAAAAGGATATTATTTTAAAGCTATCATTTCCTTTTTGAAATTATGTGATATTATGGGATGTGTGATTAAAATAGGATATAATTATGTTTATACTGTCAGTTTTACTTCATGTATATTACAATAGGTTTATAAACAGGTTTTCACTGGTTGCTTATTTAGCAGAAAATGATTTCTAAAGCTCATGCGGTATAGCTGACACTCTTTATAGCGTACACCTCCATTTAACGGACAGCACCTAATGTACCAATTATAATTACTGTATAAGATAGCCTCCACATAAAGGACACCTCTGTATAACAGACAACCTATCTTGTCCCGAAATGTCCATCATACAGAGGCTACTCCATAATAGTCACATTATGAATCTTTTGTTTTCGTTATTAATAATTGCTTTGTACATACATGTACATATATAGCCACAGACAATTTCCTTTGCTGTCTAATGATAATGTAATATTGACCTTTATATCCAACCTACACTCAGACATTCTTTTATCCATAAATTTTATTACATTTGTTGCTACTGGTAACACTCATGCCTTCATTTCCTCCAGTCTCTGAATTGCTCATGGCTCATAATGCCTTGTAATATAAAACAAATTAGTACGTGATTTGCAATCTACATGTAATTTGATTAAAGATGTTTTATAAAGAATCTTTGGTACACGTAAGAAAAATTGGAGCAAAAATAGCTCATTTTGTGCACAGAATTGAACAGTGTATAATAAAAAGCTGTTATAGATATTTGGGGTTGACTAATTATTATTATTTAATTATAACTGCACTAATAATTGCTATCATTTTTAATGTTATAATTAGAGAATTATTATTATTATTGTTATTATTATTTTTAATTTTATTAAAAATGCTTTTCTGTCCTTGGTTTTCACACCAGCTCAGTGTGGTAATGATATAATCTCTTATTGTTACACAAGTGTACGTAATTATAGCAGGTATACGCATTTGTAATAATTAATGTGAATCAACAGAGGACATTGCAATCATTGCTATCTCTCTTTTGTGTGTAACACAACACGACATTGTGACATTTCTAAGTGTACGGAAACTCTAAAAGTTTTAACCACCAGCGTCTCGCTGAGCTTTTTATGTAAGCGCTAAGAGATCATGATTTATTTATTTTTAGTATCTATTAGCCTTTATTGTAATGTAATGTAGCCTTTTATTAAAGACACTATTGGGCCCATACTACCTGTCCTTAATACATGTACAGTGTAGCCTCTTTATTAAGGACACCATTGGGCCCACACTACCTGTCCTTAATACATGTACAGTGTAGCCTCTTTATTAAGGACACCATTGGGCCCACACTACCTGTCCTTAATACATGTACAGTGTAGCCTCTTTATTAAGGACACCATTGGGCCCATACTACCTGTCCTTAATACATGTACAGTGTAGCCTCTTTATTAAGGACACCATTGGGCCCACACTACCTGTCCTTAATACATGTACAGTGTAGCCTCTTTATTAAGGACACCATTGGGCCCACACTACCTGTCCTTAATACATGTACAG